TGGTAGAGTGCTTGCCTTGCATGCCTGAGGCCCTGGGTTCAATTCCTCAGTACCACATAAGCAAAAAGAAAAAAGCCAGAAGTGGCGCTGTGGCTTAAGTGGTAGAGCCCTAGCCTTGAGCTGAAGAGCTGAAGGACAGCCCCCAGGCCCAGAGTTCAGGCCCCGGACCAAAATAAAAAAAAAAGATACTGTACAGTTACAGTAACATTAGTAAGGTAATGAGTACATTTCCTATCGAGCACTCATTTCTACATATAGGAGAATTTTAAAGTGCAGAAGAAATCTAGGGATGCTAGAGCAACTTGTTTTCCCAAGAGGACAAGCCTAGGTTTCAATCAGCTTTCTATGACCCATTTCATGGTTTCCAGTAACCATGGTTACCCCCCTTCATTCTTACAGGGGTTGGGGAACATTTTTTTCTGTCAAGGGTATGTGTAATCTCATACAAAAGTACAAATACAAGTAGTAAATGGCCAATGGCAGATAAGAGGCAAAATCAATGCTATCTTTTATTCCACAAACAAAATAATAAAATTAAAAGTTCTAAAAGATTTGCCAAATACTAGAAGTCAAGCCTAAATACACATACCGTTCTTCTGATGTAGAATTCACGTATTCTCTAACACAGAGCAGGGCAGCATCTCGACACATCTCTTTTAGGTCACTTCCTGAAAACCCATCAGTTTCCTGGGCAACTTCTAGCAGATCAACATGTCTATCCACCTTAAACAAACAGGGACATACTTATAAAATAATTGCAAAACCGATTTACAAGAGTATTTCCAAATATTGATCCTATAACTAAAGAAAGTTAGGCATATGATAACAGCACAGGAGGAGAAATATTTTTTAAGAATATTTTAAGCCAAGTGCTGGTGGCTCACACCTGTAATCCTAGCTACTCAGGAGGCTTAGATCTGAGGATCATGGTTCAAAGTCAGCCCAGGCAGGAAAGTCCATGAAACTCTTATCTTGAATTTCTCACCAGAAAACTGGAAGTGGCTCTGTGGATCAAGCAGTAAAGCACTTGCCTTGAGCTGAAGAGATGAGGGACAGCGCCTAAGCCCAGAGTTCAAGCCCCACTACCGATAGACAAAAAAAAAAAAATTCAGACTGGGCACTGATGGCTCATACCTGTAATCCTAGCTACTACACAGGAGGCTGAGATCTGAGGATCACGGTTCAAAGCCAGCCCCAGCAGGAAAGTCCATGTGACTCTTACATCCAATTAGCCACCAGAAAACTAGAAGTGGAGCCATGGCTCAAAAGTGGTAGAGCATTAGCCTTGAGCAAAAAGAGCTCAGTGACAGCACCCAGGCCAAGAGTTCAAGACCCTTGACTGATAAAAAAATAATAATAATACTTTCAGTTGCTGGGAGCTGGTGGCTCACTCCTGTAATCGTAGCTACTCAGAAGACTGAGATCTGAGGATCTGAGACAGCACAGGCAAGAAAGTCCATGAGACTCTTATCTCCAATTAGTAACAGAAAAAAAAAAATGGAAGTGGCTCTGTGGTTCCAGTGGTAGAGCACTAGCCTTGAGCAAAAGGAGCTCAGGGATAGCTACCAGACCCAGAGTTCAAGCCCCAGGACTGGCCAAAACAAGAAACAAAAACAAAGCAAGTTTCACAGTTCCTAGAAGTTAATTTGTTGTTGTTGTTAGTTCTAGGGTTTGAATTCAGGACTCCACCTTGCTGGGCAGACACTCTTACTGCCAAGTCCCATCTCTAGCCATTGTTTGTTGGTTACGTTTTTTTTGTCGGTTGTGGGGCCTGAACTCTGGGCCTGGGTGCTGTCTCTCAGCTCAGCTAGCACCCTACCACTTTAGCCACAGCGCCACTTCTGGCTTTTTCTGCATATGTAGTGCTGAGGAATCGAACCCATGGCCTCATATATGCAAGGCAAGCGCTCTACCACTGAGCTACCTTAGCAGCCCAGAAATGTAATGTTTTAATATTCTTCTACCACCACACTAATTAAACATTTAAAAGTTTTGCTTTCCAACATAAGTTTACAGCCAGGATAGTTAAGTCAGCACAATAATAAGCTTTGTAGAAAATAATGACATTAAAATTATATACAGATTGAGAGGAGAAAATAAGCAAGAAAATAATACATTTACTATGATCATCTATTAACTAATGGTAAGGTACTAAGCACTTTATATATATATTATTCTCATTTTATGTGAGGTCATTTATGTTCATGTTTGTTTTCTGTTAATCATGAGATTAGCAACAACATCAAAAAAATGGATATAGAGAAATAATCATTTATTCTCTAAAGAATGAAAACTAAAACTTTAATGAGACAACTGCTTTTTACCTATCATCAAAGTGGTAGGGAGAGAGGTAGTTTGATATGGCTGATATGAGAATAAACTGTCGTGGACAACTTGGCAACAGCCAACAACCCGTGTAAATACCCTGTCATTTCTCTTCTGAAAAGATTACTCTGCTCATATCCTTACACAAGTATGAAATGACATGTACAAGTTCATATGAACATATGTTGAATATACTATTTTTTTTTTCAGTTGGTCGTAGGGCCTGAACTCTGGGCCTGGACACTGTCCCTGAGCTCAGCTCAAGGCTAGTGCACTACCACTAGAGCCACAGTGCCACTTCTAGCTTTTTATGCTTATGTGGTGCTGAGGAACCAAACCCAGAGCCTCATGCATGCAAGGCAAGCACTCTACCACTGAGCCACCTTCCCAGCCCCTCAATATACTATTTTTATACTAGTAAAAGATCAAAATTAACTAAAATGCCCTTCAGTATAGAAGTGATTAAATAAAGCATAGAACTATAATCCTAGAGTCCTCTTTCATTATAATTATGCAGAAAAAATAGAATAAAGAAAAACTATATGCTAATATAGAAAGATCTTAAGGTAAATGGAAAAAGCTGGTAAGTGTGCCTGGCTAATAGTCAAGCAGTTTATGTAAAAAATCCAGAGAATAATAATGTATTCTAATTTGCTTCTATAGGCATAGTATCAATCTGAAAGTATACAGATGAAATATAGCAGGAAAAGACTTTTCCCTGTGTATCATTTAATGTATATGTTATAATGCTTAAACCAGGTGAATATATTACTATGTAAAAAGAAAAAGAAACGGCAGGTTACCAGTAGCTCACACCTGTAATCCTAGCTACTCAGAGGTTGAATTCTGAAAATCTTCAATTAACTACCAAAAAAGCTGGAAATAAAGAGTTGTAGCTCAACTGACAGAGCACTAACCTTCAAGAAAAAAGCCCAGGGAAAGCGTCCAGAATCTGAATTCAAGTCCAAGGACAGACAGACGTACGTGTGTGTGTGTGTGTGTGTGTGTGCGTGTGTGTACACGCGCATGCATACGTGAGTGCACACGCCCTTCAAACAGAACATTTTGACTACAAGTTACTGAGTTTCATGGTTTCATTAGTAATTTAGTTCAAGTTCAAAGCTACACTATTCCTTTCTCTCTTAACATGACTTCATAATATAAACATATTCACTTTTTTTTGGGGGGGGGTCCAGTTGTGGGGCCTGAACTCTAGGCCTAGGCGCTATCCCTCAGCTCTTCAGCTCAAGGCTAGCGCTCTACCATTTGAGCCACAGCGCCACTTCTGGCTTTTTTCTTTTTGCTTATGTGGTGCTGAGGAATCGAACCCAAGGCCTCATGCATGCAAGGCAAGCGTTCTACCTCTGAGCCACCTTCCCAGCCCAGCATATTCAGGATAAGGAAAAAAAATCATAATTTTCTACTTACATTTTCATTTTTTAAGATGAGCTTCAAGATTGCTTCTCTTTGTTTTAGAGCCTAAAACCAGAACAATTTCCAGTCAACATAGATAACTGATAGACATATAGATAGACAAGACAGACAGAGATAGCATAAGCTAGTTTTTCTTATTCACCACTATGAACTACGCAATTTATAATGATTAATGATTGTCCTAATGAATTGTTTGTTTGTTTTGTCAGTCGGGGGCTTAAACTCTGGGCCTGGGTGCTGTCCTTGTGCTCTTCAGCTCAAGGCAAGTGCTCTACCTCTTGAGCCACAGTGCACTTCCAGTTTTCTGAGTAGTTTATTGGAGATAAGAGTCTCAGGAACTTTCTTGCCTGGGCTGGCTTTGAACCATGATCCTCACATCTCAGCCTCCTGAATAGCTAGGATTACAGGCCTGAGCCACTGGCACCCAGCATGAATTATATTTTTTAGTCTGCATCTTCAGTGCATAGCACAATGACTGGGAAATAATATGCCTTAACATCTGAGTGAGTAAAAGAATTTCTAAGACTATGTCTTCCCATACAGCCCTGTGATTTTCATTTTTCACTTAATTTACTAAACTTATGACTAGAAGACATAACTATATCCTTTCAGTTCTTCATTTCAACATGTAATCTCCATATTCACTAATACTTATTAGCAAACTTTAGTTAAAACAGGAACTATGCTCAACTCCTTTCTATACTACCTTACATACAGAATAAATACAGATGGTTTTTTAAGTTACCATGGCTGAATTTTTCCTTACTCTAAAAACAGTTGGTTATGAGTGTCAGATCAAATTACCTAAAAAATGAAACCAAGCTCTGCTGTTTCTGTAACTCAAGTGTGGTATGTAGGAATGTTTATTTGATATGCTATATGACTACCAGTAACTTTTTTTTTTTGGTCAGTTGTGGGGCTTGAACTCTACGCCTGGGCACTGTCCTTTGAGCTCTTCAGCTCAAGGCTAGTGCTCTACCACTTGACCACAGTGAACTCTGGGCCTGGGTGCTGTCCCTCAGCTCTTCAGCTCAAGGCTAGCACTCTACCACTTGAGCCACAGCGCCACTCTTTTTTTGCTTATATGGTGCTGGGGAATCGAACCCAGGGCCTCATGCATGCAAGGCAAGCGCTCTACCATTGAGCCACCTTCCCAGCCCCACCAGTAACTGTTTTTATAGTTAATAAACACTTTGTTTGGAAAGGAGTTTTAAGGTAAGATCAATAATGCACTTTGACATTGTAATTACACAAGAAAAAATTACCCTGTAACATATTAACAGTTTTTAATGAACTTGATGACATCCATTAAACTCAGGTGATAGCATACAGTTTTAAATTTACAACTTTAATAAATGCTATAGTCTATGTTGTATACTACATTCCATACTACATGTACATCAAAAACCTTAGTTGTCTATATACAGGCTTACAACTAGTTACTGATAAAGACAACTAATCATGGTGTTGAGAATAAAGTAAACGAATTTTCTCTAAAATATTCCTATCTCTTGCTTAAAAAATACAGTAAATCCTTGTATAAAGTTCATCTAAACATGGCAGCAGTCGACCTTGCCAGCCTCACCACTCCATTCCCCTTGGTGTTTGAACAGACTGTTCCTAAACTGAAATTGAGTGGATCTACCCACTTCTTGCCTCTGTTTACAGTGACAGAAACTTTCTGCTTGTCTCACTTATCTAATTCTTACCAGCCTTCAGGCCCAACTTGATTCTGTAAATTCTACTATCTCCATATACAGCATAACTAGTTGCATTATTTCAGCTTCTCACAGCTTTTAAAAATCACATTTGTAAATCATATATTACATTATTTACATATGTCTGTCTTCTCCTACAACATAGTTCTTAGAGGGGCTGGGAAGGTGGCTCAGTGGTAGAGTGCTTGCCTTGCATGCCTGAGGCCCTGGGTTCAATTCCTCAGCACCACATAAGCAAAAAGAAAAAAGCTGGAAGTGGTGCTATGGCTTAAGTGGTAGAGCACTAGCCTTGAACTGAAGAGCTGAGGGACAGCGCCCAGGCCCAGAGTTCAGGCCCCAGGACCGGACCCAAAAAAAACAAAAACATAGTTCTTAGAGAAGAAAAGTCACATTCCATTCTCCAGTACACGTATTGACATATATTAAAGCTCAATAAGTATTGTACTAGACACAATGTATTGTTTAATATTAATTTAAACCATCTCTTCACTTTTCAAATTGAGCAATTAAGTATGTAAATATCACCAGAAAAACCGAAGTTTTTGACTGGCAATAGTTTTTCATAATTTACAAGCTGGATGCTGATGGCTCATGTCTGTAACCCTAACTACTCAGGGGGCTGAGTGGCTTTTTAAAAAAAATGCTAGAAAGAAGGGAAGTAATAGTTCAGTCTCATCCATATATCTGTATGGATACATCTGTACGGATGAGATGTATATTTTCCAATCATTACCCAATCAAGGAGGAAGCACTGAGTACATTTGCCAACAATTATTCAAATATACCCCAGGTGCTCTGCTCCTCATATGAAGCCTTGGAGCAAAACAATTCTTTGACCTTTGTCACCAAATTTTACTCTATGATAATCCAAAACTTTAAATTTTTCTTATGTAGCCTCCTAAAGTACATTTCTCATATGTCTATGTAAATTTGAGGTAATTATATTCTTGAGGTAATTATATTCTTGGAAGAAAAATAAAAACACTGATCACAGGAGAGAGAGAGGGAAAAAAAGTGAGAGGGAGGGAGGGAAAGTGAGAAAGAGGGAGGGAGAGCTAGAGAGAGAGAGAGAGGGAAGGAGGGGAGAGAGAAAGAGGGAGAGAGAAAGGGAGAGAGAGAAAGAGAGACAGAGAAAGGGGGGAGTGACCAAAGAAAGTGAAAAGGAAAGAGAAGCAACCGTGAGGTTTCCTACCATATTCCTTCCCTGCCCATCATACATGATTCCTATGGAACAAAACATTCCCTTACTCAAAATCACAGATAAAGACCTGTTAAAAAAGCCATATACTAAAATTAAGACCACCTACAGGCTGGTTAATATGAAATCTTGTAGGCATTCTTCTCATTATAGCCGAGTCAAGGTCTTGAGGGCGATTAGTAGCACCCATCACTATAACCTAAATATACAAAGACAACACAAGGTATTAAACATACATTAATATTCCTTGAGGTCATTATTACTAAGACACAGAAGATATGTTTATATACAAAATGGAAGTTAATCCTAACAAGATTTGTTAATAATAGCAAATCCAGATTTCTATTAATACATTATTACTGGGATTTCTAGTACTGTTCAGCTACAAGTACCATTACAAAAGAATTGAAGAGTTTTTATTTTTTGGGGTAAGAATTGAACCCAAGGCCTCACACAAGCTAGGAAAGCACCCTATCATGTGAACCATGTTCTTAATAGTTTTTTAAGAAAAAGACTACTATATTTACAAAATAATTCAGTGAGTAGCTTTGTCCAAAAATTAAAAGGACTTAAAAATTTGTATTTTTAACCTGACTTATGGAATTGAAACCTCTGTACAACAACCTAATTTAAAAAATTGTATTTCACAAAATATAGTTATTCAATAAATATAAAATAGGAATTTAAGTGGGGAGACCCTTCAAATCTTTTAACAATATTTTGGAAAAGTCTAAAGATTCTTATCATGTATTTTCATGTCATCATCTCACTGAACTATCACAGCACTAAAGATAGTATCTTCTCAGTTTTAGGTAAAACCTCAAACAATCCTCCTTTAAACAAAAGCAAGAGAGTAAAAGTAAATATCAAAATGCTGGGTAGGGGCTGTAAGTGTAGCTCAATGCAGAGTGCTTTTCTAGCATGGGTGAGGCCCTGGGATCCATACCAGCACACACACACGTGCGCACACACATACACACACACACACACACACACACTCAATTCTATATCAACCCACATGAAGACAAAGTCAAAAGAAGTACATCTGTAAAAGACTTCAATACTTTAGTACAACCTAATAGCATCAACATCTGCTATCCCAAATAAAACTGATTTTTTTTTTTTTTTTGCCAGTCTTGGAGCTTTAATTCAGAGCCTGGGCATTGTCTCTGAGTTTCTTTTGCTCAAGTCTAACTAACACTCTCCCACTGGAGCCACAGAACCACTTCCAGCCTTTACTGTTTATGTCGTACTAAGGAATTGAACCCAGGGTTTCATGCATGCTAGGCAAGCACTCTTACCACTAAGCCACTTGATTTATTACATAAAAACATATTTCTCTGATAGTATTTTATTTCTGCTTAATGATTTAAGATTTCTAAAGCAGAACTCCACACAGATATCCACCAAATCTTATACTCTTTCTATTCTTTACATTTAGTGTTATACAAGAACCTCAAAGCTAACTTATTTTTAATCGACTAGACTGCCACCTGGAGGAAAAAAATTAAATACAAATACAAATTTAAGAAATGTTAGTCCTATAACAGTGCAATTCTGTATTTGGGCAAAAATTTAAGGCTCAAATATACTTATTATTAACTTCCTAAAATAAATTCCACCACATGTAAAATAGACAAGCTTTAAATGTGATTAACTGGACTAACAGCTGAAGGTAACAAAATGAATGTGAGAAAGGCTACTTTCCAACAGTACATTTACAGAGAAATCATGATATAGAAGCCTGCTGAAGATGTGCCATATCTAGCTGCAGGCATATACAAACAGCACGACAACTAAAGCAATCATTAAAAACGTCGCATTTCTTTTTTCTTTTTTTTTTGCCAGTCCTGAACTCAGGGATAGAGCACTGTTCCTGACCTTCTTTTGCTCAAGGCTAGCACTCTACCACTTGAGCCACAGAACCACTTCCCACGTTTTCTGTTTACATGGTACTGAGGAATCGAATCCAGTGCCTCATGCATGCTTAGCAAGCATTCTACCACTAAACTACATTCCTAGCCCCAACATCACATTTCTTTTGATTAGCACTACTGATGGAGTCAGAGTAAAGAGCAAATGGATGTGACTGTCACCAGGGTGTCCATGTCACAGAGCACCAACTACACAGTGTGGATTTCTCCCTCTGCATCTGGTGGCAATCATCAAAATGAATCAAAATTGGGGCTGGGAAGGTGACTCAATGGTAGAGTGCTTGCTTTGCATGCCTGAGGCCCTGGATTCGATTCCTCAGCACCATATAAGCAAAAAGAAAAAAGCCGGAAGTGGTGCTGTGGCTCAAGTGGTAGAGCGCTAGCCTTGAGCTGAAGAGCTGAGGGACAGCGCCCAGGCCCAGAGTTCAGGCCTCAGGACCGGACCGAATCAAAATTTACAAAAACCCTATTTTGAATCCTTATCACTTAATGATAAGTATGAAAATTATGTAAAAACTTTTGTACAAAAGTATAAGAAGCAGCCCACAGGCCCAAAGAAACATAGGTCCCATGGTTTCCCTTATTTGCAATATCTAGCATATCTATGAGTCAAGCGGAAAAGGTCAGATAATGTGATGTCAGGAAAATGAACCCTGAGATATGTATCTTAATGTTTTTTTCTTTCATGCATGTGTTTCTAATGCACTTATAAGATTATCTCTTTGTTGCTTTGTATGTCCCTCCCCCACAGTATAACCCCTGCTTTCACTATATTTGATGTCAGTATAACTTGAGGAGGAGATGGGGAAAAACCAGTTGTTTAAAGATACAGGTGGACCTGTTGCAACAATGAGAAGTACAAGTTGTCATGTCAAAACGAGCTTTACAACGTTGTTGCGGGGGGGGGGGGGAAGGGGGGGAAGGAGAAAGATTGGGATTGGGGGGGAGGGGGAGGCTGGGAAGGGATGTGAAGGGTAAACAAAAGGAGGAGGCTGCAATGCTTGGTAAGAAATGTACGCATTATCCTGCCCATGTAATTGTAACCCCTCTGTACAGTATCTTCACAAATAAAAGAAAAAGAAAAGAAAAAAAAAAAGAAGCAGCCTACAAAATTCTCTGGTAACAAAAACAACACAAAATTAAGGAAGATTTTGCTTAAATACCTGGCAGCTATGATCAGTATCCAATCCATCCCAGAGACTCATAAACTGAGCCTTCATCATGGCGGTAGCTTCATGGTCAGAACTTGAACGGTTTCGTAGAAAGGAGTCTAAAATGGAGTAATGACTTATTTACTCTGCATCTAATGTAAAACCACCTAATTAAAAACTGACAGTTTTACAAAGAATTATAAGGAAGCAGACAAAGAGGTCATCTTTGTCTTTTCAGATATTATCCTGACAGAATATCCCTGGTAAATTATTAGGAAAATTAAGACATAACTTGTGTCTTTTATAATACTACATTCATGTCAAGATGTAGAAGAGAAATAAAGACTCTACAGTATCAAGAGGCTCTGTCAAGTGGAGTTTAAACCTGGTCTCAGCACACACACACACACACACACACAATTCATGTTTCTATATATGATGAAAGGACTGACACTTACCAGCATGCAAATGTAGACATAAAACATGTTGAATTGAAATGCTTTTGTAAAACTAATTAAAGATAATAAAAATAAAGTAAATCAAATGCTCACATAGAAAACATACCTATTTCATCTATAAATATGATGGAAGGTTGTAGCTTTATGGCAAGGGAGAAAACAGCAGCAGCCAATTTCTGAGATTCTCCATACCACTTATCAGTCAGTGTTGAAGGCTGAAGGTTAATAAATCGACAGCCTGCTTCTTTGGCTGTAGCCTTAGCAATCAAGGTTTTACCACAGCCTGGAGGCCCATAGAGAAGAACTCCTGGAATCAACATTATTTTATTATTACCTTTAAGAATTTATTTACAGTAGCTTATGAGGTAATTAACTTAATTCTGCACACACTACAATCCTCCTAATATTCAATTATTTTATTCATCTTTTTTATAGTAGAAATCTATGAACTTTGCCGGTACACGTTAACATTTTCAAGCACTCTCAATTTTTAATTAAATCCATTTAGATGCTTAAAATATATATGTCAGTTATAATTTGAAGCTCTACTGATACTTATTTTTTTTGTCGGTAGTGGGGCTTGGACTCTGGGCCTGGGTGCTGTCCCTGTGCTCGTTAGCTAAAGGTGAGCGCTCTACAATTTGAACCACAGCACCACTTCTGGTTTTCTGGTGGTTTATTAGAGATAAGAGTCTCATGGACTTTTCTGCTGGGGCTGACTTTGAACTGTGATCCTCAGCTCTCTCCCTCCTGAGTAGCTAAGATTACAACAGGTGTGAGCCACTGACACCCGGCTTCTACTGATAATTTTTTGGGATGGACTTGAGACACAATTAAAAAAAAAATCTAATGCTATTTTACTTAAAGCTGAAAACAGAGATGACTGCAGGTGCTTAGATGATTACATTTCACTGTTTTCATCACATGGAATATACAATATCCAATGCTAGTAGCAAAGTCATCTATACATATTAATTCTCAGGCTTTTTAGAACAAAATATTCAAGCAAAAACTTCCAAACCATAACTTCATACTTTTAGAATATCTGATCTTTTTACAAATTATTGATTTCTCATTTTGAATAAACAACTTCTATAGTTTAGCTACTTTCTTGCAGATTGAGATTTCCCAATTCTCCTCACAGACTGCAACTAATACTATTACTTGAACAGCTACTAATGTCAGAAGATTAAATATGCAAAAACTTTTGTGCCAGGTGCCAGTGGCTCACACCTGTAATCCTAGCTACTCAGGAGGCTGAGATCTTAGGATCGTGGTTCAAAGCCAGCCTGGGCAAGAAAATCTGTGAGACTCATCTCCAATTAACCATCAGAAAACCAGAAGTGATGTTGTGACTCAAATGGTAGAGCACTATCCTTGAGCTGAAGAGCTAGGGACAGCACTCAGGCCCAGAGTTCAAGACTCATGACAAACAAAACAAACAAACAAAAAACTTTTGTATCTTCTGGCAGATACAGCTATGATAGGTAAGTTACACAGAGATAGCAATATCTCGTTTGACCTGAATGACATTTATATGAATGTCACATTTATCCACTGAACTATTTTCTCTCCCATTCCTGTATGTACCTTAGGTTCCACTAAGCTTCATATTATATCTCCAGTGAGCCTAGCAATAATATTAATATGGCACCTTTTCCATATCCTTTAAGTGGTTGTCAAAATGTTAATATTAATATTATATGTAATATATAATATTTAATGTGATAAATGAGTTGATAATGTAAGACAGTTATATTATTATTTACAAACCTTTTAACTATTTTTTTAATTTAATGTGATACTCTCATAACCCATTTCAACAGATCAAAAATGTTTGTGCTTTGGAGAAGCTTAAAAATTTGTACTCACAAAACAATTGCATTAAAGAAAAACAGATGCATGGACAAACCCAAATTTTCTTTTTGGTTTGCTGGTCCTGAGGTTTGAACTTAGGACCTGGGCTCTGTCCCTGAGCCTCTCTGTGCTCAAGGCTAGTTCTCTACCACTTGAGCCACAGTGCCACTTCCTGCTTTTTATGAGTACTTAATTGGAGATAAGAGACTCACATTCTTTCTTACCTAGGCTGACTTTGAGCTGTGATCCTCAGATCTCAGCCTCCTGAGTGGCTAGAATTACAGGAGAGAGCTACCAGTGCCCAACCACTGAGTTGGGTTTTTTAAATCTTAAATTTTCTCTTTTGAATTTACTTGGAAGAAACAAAAAATATTTACTGTGACATGTAACAAGGAAAAGAATTTATCTAAATTTCAGCTGAAGAATTAGTAATTACTTAAAAATTATTATTTACAAAAGTTTCTTGGATCTCAGTATTCTCTTCAGAATCTAACATCAAAATAGCACTTCTATAATAGCCCTCTTTTGTAAGTGTTTTAATGGTTTAAGTGAAGGTATGTGTATATACACTCACATGTATTATATTAATTATAGTATACTATACCTTTTGGAGGCTGCAGAAGCCTGGAATTTTCAAACAAATGCTTCTTTTTGATTGGTAAGATGACTGTGTCTTTCAGGTCTGTAATGACATCATCTAAACCTGCTATATCACTCCAAGTAACCTGGCAAAAGTTAAGTTCAACAAGAACATGAATTTTACAACTAATGCATACTCACAAAAGCTAAAAAACAAAAATTCCCCCAACAACAAACTAATATATCATGATGATTAGAAATAATATATATTAACACAAGGGAAAATTTCACAGTAGTAATAAAATTAAAAATTTTGCACTGGAGAAAGAAATTAGCTGTCAACTTTCTAATACTGGAAAAAGGGAGTGTTGCTCAATGGTAGAAAGGTTGCCTAGTAGTACAAAGCCCTGGTTCAATCCCCAGGAAAGGACACAAAACAGAACCCTCACTAAACCAGGTACTTAAAAATCTGCAATGCAGAATTCTAATAAACTGAACTCATTCCATTTATGAGGAGGAAATATTCTGCTATAAGACACAGAAACAGGGCTGAGAATGTGGCTCAGTGGTAGAGCGCTTGCCTTGTACGCATGAGGCCCTGGGTTCGATTCCTCAGCACCAC